TTAAATAATATTTATGGGGTGTTCTTGAGTCGTTATCAACTTGTAAGCGTAATTATTAAAAACTAGGTTTACTTATTAAATAAAGTATCTATTAAAATACCGACTGGTAAGAATTGTTGTAAGCTAGTTGTAAACAGTTATCTTATTGATTGACTAATTTTACCTGCGTACCTTTGTACGAATGTAGTAACGAATGGAGTTTCTGGCTCGTTCTTCTCCACTCGAATCGACATTTTGGAACGAGCGCTTAGCTTCACTGACGGACAGACAAACAGACTATTTTTTATTTCATATTTGTTGACGTTTCAAAAGTACCAAATTATGGTTTAATTTAAATAAATGCTTTTGTGTTTGAGTTTGAGCCTACATATTTATCGTAGTATTGTACCTATTAAAATACTGAAGGTTATTAGTTATGGCGGACAAATTTCCGTTTAAGAACAATTGGGACCCGCGAGCAGATTTGAAAGAGAGATTGATAGCGATATTTTGAAATTGAAATCAAACGTTTATATCGCCCTAATCGTTGATCGCAACTAAAGCCTGACCCTCAGCAACCATACTTACATGCTTAGATCACTACTTAAAAAGCATAGCATCTTAGACATAACAACATCAACAGCCAACAGCCCACTGCTGAGCAAAGCCCCTTCTCACATGAAGAAGGTTTGAGCATTAATCGCCACGCTAGCTCACTGCAGGTTGGCAATTTCAAACTAATGTATAATTAGAAATTATAGTTTAGGTTTCCTCACGATGTTTTCCTTCGCCGTTTGTCAGTGGTGTCTAAATAATCTTAGAAAGTACATATAATCCGGAAAAACTTAGATTGGTACTTGGTGTTGATAACTTTCGAACCCGCACCCTCATGTTAAAACCACGAGGTTAATTGGTCTGTGGTTACTGGTTATAAATAGTTGATAGTAAGTAACCTTATATGTACTTGAAGTTAATTGGATATCTTAGTCATTGGTTACAATGAGGAGGTGGTAAATATATAGTAGAGAAGCAAAGGGGGTAATTGATAATTTGATGATTAGGAAAAACAAAAAATGCAACAACACGATTGGATCGTTGGTCTAGTTTGCGCAGACGCCATTGCCTCAAACATAATGGTATGTACGATATAGCGTGGATAATAAATGTGTAATTCTTTTAGCTTTTATCAGAAGATTTCACAGGATCGGAAGAAACCGCTTAAATTAGTATAAGTACCGAAAGTTATTCTATCACAAATTCTTTCCTTCCATACCCTCATCCTCACACAAGCTATCCTATATCTATATATATACATTGTGTATTATGTTGAAAACTAAATTATTTACTCAATAAAATAACGTCCCTAATTTAAATCCCCAAAGCGGCAGGTAGAGTCAGAAGTGCCTATGGTAATATCGAAAAGTGACTTTTTGTAGTATCTCTGTCCTTAATACCTGTAAGACTCCTGTCTTCCTCTTCAGGGATTGTATGTCATATAAAGAGACAGCCTTTATAGTACACTCGCTTCTGATATCGGCTTCGCCCGCGTTCCCGTAGGTTAAAAAGAGTCCCATGCGTTACTCCACACCATAATCTACCCTTGTTCCAAATTTCATCCCGATCCCGCCAGCCATTTTGACGTGGAGGAGCAACAAACAAACAAACAAACAGACACACAAACATTCGCATTTATAATATTAGTAGGGTAGGTAAGTGTCTAATTGGGTGCCATATGTTTCGATCGTTTAAGTATGATTAGCTTTACCTTATATGTATTATGTAATTTCCCGCGAATGGTGATAAGCTCTCCATATTTGTACCTACGATAGATAAAATCCATGTATTAATTGACTATATTTATTTATAGATAACCTAACTAAGTGTCAAATTAATTTAAAGACGGCAATTGTAATAAAACTTAATATCACGCTTGTGTAAAATATATACGCTATAAAAAATATAATATCACGCTTGTATTCGAGTTGTTTGGCTAAACTTATTTTTTAGCAAACTGATCTTTTTTGCAGCGAAATTTTTTGCTGTTCCGGGAATTGAACCCGAGAATTCAATTGATTGAGTCTTCTCGGTTAGTCGGTTAGTTTAGAAACTATGTTCGATAATTTATTTATTTACAGTCAATACTAAAAACTGGTTCATTTAATTTGATGGTCAAAGGAAACAAATGACGGTCGACTGGTTAATTCATGATAGATTGTCCTTCGATGTTAACTTCTTAATAACAACATTAATTACTCTTTTCATAATTCAAAATAGTATAACATTGTACCTATATTTCATTTCAATAAAAAGAAAAGAAATAAAGTGACTCTATACTAAGATTTTTGCTGTTGTTTGTCCTTTTGTTGACTTACAAATGCACAAAGGTCACACCCAGATCAATATATTCTAATGCCCATAATTCAGGTCATTCGCGTTTACAGAATATACAAAGGAAAAAGAAAAATAAAAGAACTATAAGTAGGTACCTAGTTTCATTTTCCACGTGAATAGTTCATCTTTAATTGCTGTTACAAAACAGTCAAAACAATACGTCTAAACGTTTCTACTAAAACGCCAGTGAAAGTGTCTTTTGATAAGAAAAACCTCGGATTGCGGCATGCGGGCTCACCACGTAATTAATCATTCTTCAGCTTTTTATGTTAGACTCCAAACTTTTTCGTGGAACCTACTTAGTGCCTTCTACGGCGATTCATTCAACAGTAGTTTTATTATTTGACTTGAGTTAGTTCTGTGAGAAACAGTCCGCAATTAAATTATTGCGTCATATTTTGATTTAGTATTTCAATGACTTACTTTTTGGGACTTTTGGAATTGGCTTATCCACTTTAGACCGATCATACCTAGGTCTAAATTAGAAACTGCTTATGCACAGTGAAGGAGGTAGATATAAGTACTTGATGTTCTTGCAAGAACCGAGATTTTACGATGCATTTTATGGTTTAGTCTTAACTATTTTTCCAACAGTTGCTAAGCCTGAATTTGTTTCTACAAAATCGTTGTTCAAGTTCCAAGTACAAGGAAAACATAAGTACAGGGGAGCGCTGAGCACGACGAGAACAAGTAAGTAGTAAAGCGAAATGTTATCATTATGGCATCTGCGCAGGCGCGGACGGCGGCCGGGCTATTAGCGTCAGGTAAATGAAACGTAAAGTCCTGGGTACCGCATTATAAATTCCTCACGCCAAAGCAAAAACATCTCGAGGAATCCGCGTCCACGATTGCCCAAAGCTTTTTGTATTCAAAACAGCGCTCATGCTAATGTGGAGGCAAACTTGAGCTGATTCAAGTGTTTGAACAAGTGACTTTGTGTTATGTTAATCTAACCCCGAATATTTTGTTCAGCGTTCAATCACGTTTCCCTATTACGCTTATTGTGTAGATACAATTCAATAAGATCTATAATGGGTTCAACGAAAAAAATGATCAAATAAAAAATTAAGACCGTATTCTTTATGACATCCTCTCTGTTGGTACTCCTAATATCCGATAAGTTTGTAAAAAACCAGTTATTTTGAGATTCATTCCGCCTTTATTATGTTTTGTTTTCCGGCCTCGGGTCTTAGTCTTATTAGATGCTTGATGTTTATTCGATATGTAAATAATTTTATTGTCTTTGTGATGGAAGTAGGAGAGTTTGTTTAACGTCTCAAGAATGTGAATGTAGGGGCTTTAATTTGTAAATTAATGATTGTTAAGAACAAATTAATATTCTCGTGAAGGTCTAAAAAGGCCTAATTGTTATTCGATGTATTGGAGTATAATCCCCAACACAAAGCATCTAAAGGTGCATTAAACATCGATTAGCGGTTAACACCACCTTTTCCGCACCTGTGGAGCCACCGGCAATAAACCTATTGGCCTTTAATCTAACCACAAAAGCTTGCAAACTTACAGTAGGCTTCGGCAGTCGATGTTCCTTCACAAGTCCGATTACCATTCCGCATTCAGATTAATTGCATGAAATACTTCAATCCACTGTTGATAAACACTTTACGATCACTTCACTGTAGCACCTGTACCAGTAGGGACAATAACTGATGTCGTGAGAAAATCGCGGAAAGCCGACAAAAATTGTACCAACGTCCAACTCGCCAAGAATATGTATGGAGACTGGCGTGCGTTTGACGCGCCTGGAGGCGTTTGCGCAGCCTTCGCCGGTGGAAAGTTCATCGAACGAATAGCTCCCGCGTGAAGTGAGACGTGCGATCGCGATCACATGAGAAAAAGCCTTCGAGAAAATTTTACTCACCTGTTTGTACAATCAAATAGGCTTTTATGGGTTTGTGTGTTGCATGTGTCAATGTGTTGAATACGAATGTAGACCAAGTTCGCATATTGTTTCAAGTACATACATATTTGTGTTCGCAATCTGACTGCGAATTATACGATGTAGTATTCTGTAACCACAAGCCCACAGCATTAATATTGAATTATTAATAATTGTTTGATTACGACCTTAGTTTTAAGAGATCAAGCATTAACAATTTCGATAATGGGTTGCAAAATATACAAAGAAGAAATATACATATTTTATTTGAAGTTATAGAATATTTTATTTATTAAACAAGACAAAAAACTACATGAAGCTAAATGTACTCATGAGTTTGAAATCGTCAAATCCATCTTTGGGAAGCGTGGTGATTAATGTCCAAACATTTTCCATTTGAGAAGAGGCCTTTGATCAGTGGACACTTATAGGCTAATGATGATGACTACCTACTACTCCAAAAAAATTAAAACTTAAATGCAAGTTTCAACTCATATTAATTTGAATACAAGACAAAAAATTAAATGTCGTAGAACTGAACGTATCGCTGCGAATAACGGAACGTTTTATCTTTTTACTCTGTGACTGTCATAGTGTCATGTCAACTCATTCGATTTAGATCCGTCAATTTTGTCATCATTTTGGATGCGAATCGTGACTTTCAGTTTCTTGCAAGTTAATGTGAATAACTATTTGTTTTGTACGTTTCAGTGTTACGTTAACTTAATCCAGAATGCCTAAGGTTTCAGGTAAATACGGAACTTGAATACTTGTTACTTTCAGAAATTGCTACATCATTGTTTTAGTATTGAGGTTATAGCTGTACAACTGTCATTTTTACATTTTAATGTTATTTTTGTTAATTTGGCTCTTGAAATCAATTAATAATGCATAAGCCGTATAATGTGACTCGTTACGATACCAAGATAAAGTTTAATGATGTATTAAAAAATGCATTGTCATGACGCGTCCCCTATTTGCCCGTAAAACAATCCCGGCATTATGATGTTTTCTTGCTTATTAAACCTAATTTAACTTTATATACCTTACAATAATTTTAGAAACTACATTTCCTGTACAATTAACCCTAAAATTTAAACTAGAGACTTATCTTTCATGTAAATATAAAAATAAACACATTTACAATTTTAGTGCTAACATTTGTTAACACCACAGTTTAATACCGTCACTTTATTATCTACTAAGCATTTTTGTGCAAACTAAATCTATATTCCTGTCAGTTAAAAAAAACAGCACAGTTAATAAATAAGGTTAAGAATGTCACCTCTCTATTTATGATTAGAACTATGTCTAACAATGTTATGGTAAATTTTATTTACAGTAAAGGTAAAATGGGGCAAGGAGATGTACCCAGGAGTGGAAGTGAACACAGATGATGACCCTGTGGTGTTCAAGGCTCAGATCTTTGCCCTCACTGGAGTACAGCCTGAGAGACAGAAGGTTGTGTGCAAAGGAGTCACTCTTAGAGACGATTCCTGGGCCAACTTCAAGTTGTCCAATGTAAGTTGTATTGTGCATTTGTTTTTTACTATTTTATTTTTAAAGTTATAAGTGAAATGTTTAGATGATGAGTGGAAGGAGGGTAGAGAGGCCTTTTCCCTGCAGCAAAATGCCATGGCTGAATATAAATAAGGGAAATGTTGTAAAGCAACATTTGAAATGCCAAATTAAAGTACTCGCCTTGTTTATTTAGTAATCTGGTTGTGTAAAATTTAGTATATGTATGTGTAAAATAAAAGAATTTTAAATATGTACATACCATGTAATACTAAAAAATTAGATAATAAGTTCAGATTCAGTTATCACCTTGTGTTTGGTGTAAATTTCAACTTAGACTTCAACTTGTTGGGTGCTCTATTTGTAGCCTTAGGCCTTTTACTACATTATACAGTCCACTAAACTTTCCTCCTTTTATTTATATGGCTCAACATGGTCAAATTCAATCTTTCAAATATAATAAAACTATATTTTAAACTGTCAAACACCAAGCGGTCACCGGTGACCGCGACCTATTGTTCTTTAATTGTGTCTATAAAACCGGTACTCGACGAGTTAATTTTAATTTTCCAGAATGCTCTGGTGCTGGTAATGGGCAGCAAGGAGGAAGATGTACCATCTGCTCCGGTGGAACAAACACGTTTCGTAGAAGACATGAATGAGTCCGAGCTGGCAACTGCTGTGAGAATCTTTTATTTTTATACTTATCTTCTGTTGTCAGCCTTCTACCCATTTTTATCATTTTATACAAAGTTGGGCCTTATAATATTTTTTCATTAGAGATGGCAGAACTGGATTGCTTTTGTGTCAATGTAATGGCTCTTAAGATCATTACCATGTAGCAATGATATTTATCGGAACTACAATATGCTCTTCATTCTTCAAAAATAACATTTTATAAAAAAAAAACACTCATGTCCCATACTATTGTTAGTAGAGTAAATTAGTATATCATTTTAGAGCATAAGTTTAATTTTATACTTAATTTGTAATCTAAACAAACAATGTTCTGTGTTAAAATTATAAAAATATTTGTTTTTCAGTTGGACTTGCCCGAGGGTCTAATCAACTTGGGCAACACATGCTACATGAACGCTACAGTACAGTGCCTGAAGACAGTACCTGAACTTAAGAATGCCTTACTTAATTATGATAAGTGTAAGTTTATGAACAATACTCTGTTACGTTATTTAAACTTATAACACATACTACAATGAACAGTTACTGAAATGTTTCCAAAAGGTTAACTTTGTATCAGACATTTTAAATGATAATAGTAAAATTGTTTATACCTAGGGGAGTTAATTATTATATTTTTCGGCTTATTCGCGTATCCATTTGACGATGAATTCGACTAATTTCAAGCTATGCTATAGGCTCATATTCAATGCACATGGTTCTGCAGAGGATTGTCCAAATTCCCTAAAAGAACGGGAAAACCTCGATGCAAGTACAAAGTTTTAGTAATAAAACGCAATCATTGTTTTTAGCGTCTGGTGGTGGAACCGCGGGAGAATTAACATCAGCGTTGAGTGACACCATGTCAGCGTTAGAAGGGGGCGGAGCTGGGGCGTGCGCAGGCGCAGCTGCCAAGTTACTCCGCGCCCTGCACTCTACTGCGCCACGCTTCGCGGAGCGCGGGCCTGGTGGTGGCCTGGCGCAACAGGACGCTTCAGAATGTTGGACTGAGATCATCAGGGCGCTACAGGCTAGACTGCCTTCTGCACCTAATGCTCCTGCAAATAGGTAAGTTCTTAACGAGTTATTTTCCCCGCTATATTTTGTAACATAATTTACTTTCACAAGAAATAGCTAAAAGTTAACTTCTAGGCTAACACTTAGGACTTCATTTTAACCTTAATCTACATTCTCTCATATAGTCATATCCCACTGCAAATGTTCTTCAATGAAAATTACCGGCCCATATCTTATCGCCGTCTACCTAAGTCAAATCTTTCTTATCTCCATCATCAGGTCATCTGTGATTGAGCAGTACTTCGGTGGCACTCTGGATGTGGAGTTGGTGTGCTCGGAGGCAGAGGAGCCTCCCACCCGCTCCAACGAGACTTTTCTACAACTGTCCTGCTTCATATCGCAGGATGTCAAGTATTTGCAGTCAGGACTCCGATCTGTAAGTTATACAAAACAATAATTTTAACATAACAACTAATGTTAATTTGAATTTTCATTTACAATCGATTCGGAAATCATTGAAATCGATCTTTCATAAAAATAAAGAGAATTCGTATTTTAATAAAATAGATTCCTTTTTGTTTTTTTTAATTGAAGCAGAAACAATGATACAAAGTCTACTTTGCCATAAATGTTTTGTTTGTTTTTACAGAAAATGTCCGAGCAAATCACAAAACTGTCACAAACTTTAGGAAGGGATGCGATCTACACTAAAACAGTAAGTCATTATACCTTTTTTATATGTATTTCTAGACAATTCTCGACTTTTAGTTGGTGGTTGGTATTGAAACTATAATCACACAGTGACAGTTGAATTGATCAAGTGTGCATAGTATCTAAAATAAATTATACAAAAATGTGTCGCTTTACAGAGCAAAATCAGTCGTCTGCCAGCATACTTAACGGTGCAATTCGTGAGGTTCTACTACAAGGAGAAGGAGTCCATCAACGCGAAGATCTTGAAGGACGTCAAGTTCCCGCTTGAGCTGGACGTGTACGAGCTCTGCTCACCCGAGCTGCAGGAGAGACTCATGCCTATGAGGAACAAGTTTAAGGTAATTTAGTCTTCTGTAATTAACGAACTACTCTTATGCTTTGTTCACTTGTATTTTAATCGAGTGACGAGTAGTAGCCTTTTCTCGCTTCTGTCCCAAAATTGAAGCAAGCGAGAACTATTAAAACCTCGCTACTCGACTACTACTATTGCAGTGCGAACAAGGCTTTACGCGGTTTCACTGCCGCTTCCCGTTACTCGGCTCCTCGATGAATGAACTATCCAACTTAAAAAATAATTATTTAATTCGATCCAGTATTCTCTTCTAATTGTTTAGCTTTTATTAGAAGAAGAAGGCTTTATTTATAAAATATTTTACAGTTGTTTTAATCTCTTGTAATAATCGGGTACTTGCCAACTAGTCAAATTCAATACTTTTCCAAAAACTACAGTTTTTTATGATTTGTACGAGATTGTGTATTGTGACCTCACGTTTTTTTAGCATCAATCAGCATAATTATTCCTTAAAAATTTACTGGAAAAATACTAAAATTAAGTTATTCATAAAATCAGTTAATGTAAGTGTGATTATTTTTTAATATTTTATTATATACGAGGTGTTGTTTTAAAGCCGCGTCATTTGCTAGGAGCTATCGATTCTGAGTCCGAATCGGTAAAAAAAATTGTAGATAAATATTTTTCATTATTCTGTAAATTACGGAAATCCGTAAGTACGAAGTACACGCCGCCGTCTTGTAACTAGTTTTATAACGCAGCTTAACACACAAACTCAAACACGAAATGGATATTATTTCTAATTGCATAAAACTCCAATAAGAAACATTGCTGCCGCTTATTCTGAAATACTGGCCAACTTAAACGGTCTATTATAGCCGTATTTTTAACTATTGGCCCGAAACTTTCTCTTACATTGAACCTTTATGACTTCTGTGACATGACCTGAGAAATGCCACGGTTTCAAAACTACACCTTATATATAGAACAGTCGAAATATTCTATTTTTGATTAAAGCAAGTACCCAATTAAAAACAATGGTATGAGCTGTGGCTTGAACTCATGTTAACTGACTTATCATGTTGTAGCTGTTCGTATAAATATTTTTATTTATTTCTTTCAGGAATACGAAGACGCAAATGTGGAGTCGTCTCTAAGTTCGAAGAACCACGGCGATACTTCAAAGGAAATTAAGAAAAAAGACCCGATGAGATCTGTACCCTATTGGTTCCCTAACGGTAATTTATAGATTTTTTAACATGGTTCTCCACTTGTATTTTATGTTGAGAGTTTATATTTAAATAAAATAAAATAATTTGACATATACAACACCTAGTTCCGGAACAACTATTTAGGCATCACGCTGTTGGAATGAAACTCGCAACTGTTGCCCTAAACACCACCGCATTTTTATTCCCATGTAGCATATTAGTTAATTTTTTACAAGACAAAAATCGAAGAAATTCGTATGAATTTCGAGAGTTTTATCTTTTTCATTTAAAATTAATGTGCCAGCGATAAATCTCATTCATAAGGCACAATCAGTCAATTCTATATTATTGAACCTCAATAGTAACACAACTCTATCTGTCTTCCAGACGTAGGCAGCAACAACAGCGGTTACTACCGCCTCCAAGCGGTGCTGACACACCGCGGGCGCTCGTCGTCGTCCGGGCACTACGTGGCCTGGGTCGCGCGCGGGGACTCCTGGCTGCGCTGTGATGACGATGCCGTCACTCCCGTCACCGAGGAGGAGGTGCTCAAGCTAAGTGGAGGAGGTATGTCACAATACTATTATGTTGGAATGATAGCTCACTAACATCATTTTTATCGCATGGCATTAACCTGTAAAGATAAATGTAAGTAGAATAAATAAATAAATCATAAGTCACTGTAGTCCGGCTTCTGAAGTTGTGAATATTAAGTCTAATTCTTCTTGATGTTACTTAGTAATTTAACAGCATAGATTGTATTCTGTATAACTAGTCAGTAATCCTGATTGTGTTTCAACAAAAAATGTGGCATTACTCTTAGAGCGAGGCCCCACGCAGGGCAACGCACAAATAGGACCTTGCTCTTAGAAGGTTGTAGCAAGCAGATGGCAGACAGTTCGTGTAAAATATTGACACTATCAAATAAATCAAGTTAAAGTGCATAATAACTACAATGCCTTCACGTAGTCTGTAGTACACCGATAGAAATTAAACTAGGCAAACCTACTATATGTTTACTTATAATCTTATGATAATAACTTTCCATTTACATAAGCATTACTACGCAATTACAGGCGACTGGCACTGCGCATACCTCCTGCTCTACGGGCCTAAGATCCTGGAAATTCCCGAAGTGGACGACAAGCCGGAGCCAATGATCACGGAACATGACGACGAAGACCCTCCCATCGCCCTCGCGTAACACCTCCATATATTACATAGCCTACATTTGTTCCAGCCCGCTTGACTATTCTGCGACAACTTCTGCAACTCGCACAACTTTCTTTAGCCGTTATGCCTCACTCCTATATTGCTACCTGATGATATAAAGTAGGAAATAATAACTGACTGTATTTAGTTCCTATGCGCAAACATTGGCACTAGTCTGTAATTGTTGTAGGTATAATATGTACCTAATAATCTTACTTGCGCAAATGTCATTTATTCGACTATATCTGCGCTAAACTTTGCGCATTATGAAATGTGTTTTACATTGCAAACAATGCATATGTAAATATCTAATCATTTATAAATGTTTGCGCTAACTTGGCGAAACTTTTGCGCAGTATGCGCATAAATTATTACTAAGCATGTATGTTTGCGCAAAAGACTGGCAAATTGGCTGTGTAGCAGTGATATATTGGAATCGAAATTATCCTTCAGAGTGACAATATAGGAGTATGAGATTTATGCAATATTTATGACAAGGCGTAATTAAATAATGTGTATGTCTTAGCCGCCTACTGTATAGAGAGACAGAGATTTGGGTTCACTTTATGTTCTAAAATTATTGTACCTATGTCTGAAACTAAATATAAGCCCCAAAAATATTTTGCAAATTATTATTGCGCAACATGTTATAATAGCTTAAGATTATAACTATTTAAATTGGAGATAAATAAATAGGAAAAAAAATATCTTCTAGCATAGTAGTAGTTCATCCTACTTCGCTATGCATTGTCCTGCCTTGGCCTCTATTAGAGTATATAAAATATATTCAATTCAGCTGTAGAGAGTATATATGATCTAAAGAATACTACTCTATTGGCTTTTTGGTGTCAAATTAAAGACTTGGTAATAATTTCAAAATTTTTATTTATACCTATATTAAACTATAAATCTTAATGTTGTAATTTTTTGACGAAAGGCCGTATAAAGTCAATCAGTAGATAGAAGGGTTAAACTAAATCTGAATCGTGATTTTGTGCTCCGCCGGCCGGCTCGGCGGTCTTTGTCTCGAATCATACTAAAAGCAATAAGTACTGTTGATATTATAAACAAAAGTGAACCCTTATATAGCATTTACGAATATTTATACACAAAGCAGCAGCTCGGCTCATCAATATATTATATTTAAATAGCAAAATTTTGTTAAAATGTGTTGAAGTTTAATAGATGTAAGTCGCGGGTTTAGTAATTCGTTAATTTATTGTAAATTGGCATTTTAAATGCTGCTGTTATTTGCGTGAAGCATTTTCGTTTGTCACATCTCAGTAAATACCTAGGTTCTCTATACAAGACGTATTGAATTTTATAAGACTAATTATACTAAACAATGATCGATAATAAATTTGATTATACATTTTGTTATTGTTTTATTGTGCTTTAAAACTGAATTCATTTAAAATTTAAAACAATGCTAAAGTTTAACGAGTCTGAATTCAACACGAAAAGAGAAAATAGACCCTTCGACGTTATAAAAAACCTAGCAAATTCAAGTCGAGCCATATTTTTTTTACAGTTAAGGGATGGCAGACTCTAGTTTTATACGCCTACCTGAGAAAAACGGTCGCAACACGCACAAACGACCAACGCAGAGGCCCGTTTTGGGTTGCTGTTTTTTTTGTCCTTTTCACTAGAAAAGGATAGAAATAAAAAGGGCCTCTGCGCATTTAAGTATAGCTGGTTCTGCTACCTACACAACAAAGAGAAGAAGTTTAATATATAACAAATACCACGAGGCGAATTTGTGGGCAAGTTGGCTAGCTAGAAAGCTAGCTTCCCAAAAATAGCTAGCTAGTTCCTAGTACCTAATAGGTACATGATTATTTCCTTAGAATAAAACTACGCATGCACAAATATAGTTTGTAAATGTTTGCGCTGACTTGGTAAAACCTTTGCGCAATTTGCGCATAATTTATTATGTATGCGTTTTTGTTGCGCAAAAAATTAGGAAATTGTCTGTGTAGCCGAAAGTAGATCTACATTTATTGGAATTCCTATTTTCCTTCAGAACGCTTGTCCAACCAGCGTGCTATTATTGCAAATAACACCACTGATATAATACATCTATGCAAATAACACACATACTTTATCTTGGAGGTTTTTAATCAAAACTTCTTTGCTGTACTTCTTGGAATACTTCATCAACGTCTATTCGAAAACTCTCTGATCTCTACAGATAACAAATAGGCGCTTTGATAGAAGCTGTCAATATTGTTAGTAAATAAACTTACGACAAAAACATTTTCTAAATGTGCAACTTGGGGGCAATCCTAGAACAGATTTTATGTTGTTTTCGCATATTTCTAGAAAAATGTCTATGTTACATCTGTCCGCCGTTGTACAGAGCATTCTTCGCAGAGTGCAATCAGAAGAATAGCCTGAGACTCACTAGTTTTATATGTGGCTTCTGTCTGGGACAGGCTTACTATTACTATTTATTGAAGAGAATTCCGTTCCCAAACTCCGTTGGACTTATTTTGTCTTTAGTTATAAGTGTATTGCTTGGTAGGTATATTTCTTATTCAACTGTTCTATAAAAAGTTTTTATAAACTGAGAATATTTTTCTGTAATAAGTGTAAAGTTTGCAAGCATTGTGATTTAGCATTGCAGTTATGTCCCGGCCATAGAGCCAAACATTTTCGGCTATATATAATAATAACACATATTACAGAAACACATAGCTCGTTTAGAAGTACATTAGTCAAACGGCAGGACCTTCTGCGTGCACATGCATTATGGCGATAGTTACGTAGATGGGTTTGCGCCGCGTCGCTACCCGACGCACCATTTTTTGTGCCGATACCGGACGCGCTCATAGAAAAACGCCTAATGGCATCTGTGGGGTACGAACCCAAAATGCACACATACAACTATTATTGTGAATTTTAAAACTTAATAGCTGATCCATTCTTCCGAGCACGGAGCCGGGTTCAGTTTTTTTGTCCAGTAAAGTATCGCCAACCATTGTATTTTCAATTTCTAATTTCTCAGCAATAATGGATGGTGGAATGTTCCCAGTATTTATCAATAGGTTTGCTGACTATTGGGAGTAATAATAATAATGTAATTGACGAAAAGAGGGCGTAGAAACCCAAATACTGTAATGTAACTCAAACTAAATACCATCTGTTGAATATCATACGGATGTGACAAGTTATGTTTAATAACAGTAGGTATTTTATAAAGACCAGAGAGATTAGATTGAATGACTATAGACCTGTCTGTGACCATTTAGCCCCATCTACTAACTTTCCTATCTCAAGTGTCTTTTGGTGTGTATTACTTCCAGGTATAGGTAACGCAATATCAATACAAATAAGATGTATATGTCTGCTTATATTTCCCATGTATTTTGGAAAAACTGGCCGGGGAGTGCTGAAGGCGGTCGTCTTGACCTACGTAGTGGCAGGTGAGGGAAAAATCTTCCTTAACTTTATGGTAATAGAGTTTAAACTTAGGGATAGCAATCAATCTAACATGATGGTGCATAAAACACAAAGAAACAAAGGACAGACGGGGGTTGAAGAGGATTCAATGTTCTTAATAATTCATTCTCATTTATCTGCAATGCCAGGAACACTAACAATTAATTCTATCTAAAGGAAAAATAATTGTTCAAAATGGCTTCATCCGTTTGTGAGCTACGACTTACGATGGCGGACACATAAGTATATTCAGACACATACATACGCACACAGCAAACATTATGTACAACACCCCTCGTGTTTACGTCGGGGGCTATTTCAACTTACTGTCAATACTTAGGTATATTGATCGCAAGTGCAATGTAGTCTCACTATCGATCACCAATGGAGCAAACTATTATTGATTATTTCGGTTCCAAATCAGGGATGTATTTTGCACCCCTGTAGATAATACACTCACCCTTTATTGGAATAAATCAAATAAAGAGCGAAAAGTTGTTATTTACGTACACTGAGCATTATAAGACTGAGAAGAGAGAGAACTATTATTGTGGGTGTGGGAAAGTAAACCTCCATGCACCTTCGCCTACCTTAAGGTACGGTGGAAGATAGAACTACTACTATTTCACCGTTGCCTTTGCCTTCGGTACTCAAACCATATCCTATTAAAACTTAAACCTTCCTCGAGAATCACTCTGTGTAATATTTAAAATCGCACTTATTAAATCCATTCAATTTCTGAGTTCTTACCTACAGATAAATAGTCAATGAAACAATGTATAGGAGGAAAACCTATGAACTTTTGTTTGTATAGGTCCTATCACGAACATGGGTCTGAATGCTCGAGAAGTGGTGAGGGTCTTCGCGTGCAGCACACAGCTCTCGTTCAACCTGTCCAAGGAGAGGTACAACCTCATGCTGGAGCCAATCAAGAAGACGGCGCTCAGCCTGCAGCATGAGATGGACCAAATGAAGAATGCGCTTAGGTTTGAACTCACTGAGATAGGTATTCTGTCGATGTTCATGTGAACGTATCGATGTCGTTATAATGCTATGAAGGGAATTACACTGATTAGTATGGTAATATTATCTATTAGACAAACATAGCATTCATACGTGGCTTTTGTCCCATATGGCTCATACGAGTAACTCAGTTATAAAAGATCACCTTGTATACAATATATCACCTTACGGAGCCGCGGAGAACGTAACGGGTTACCGGGGCTCCGGCTCGAAGTGCAGGAGAAGGAATGGGGTGGTTTTTAGTTAAGTCAGTAAAAATCTGACACTCCCTCACGCCTCACCCAGGCGGGAGAAGACTTTCGATGATTTTCCCTCGATAAAAAAATATCTAATACATCACCTTCATTTGCCTCATCATACAAAGTCCAGGTTTAAAAAGTAAGAGAGTTTCTTTAATTAGCCTAGCTAACTGGTTCTCATCTTGTCTTTTCATTAGTAATTTCATCTTAGAAAAACAATCGTACAAATAATTGTTTTATGATAGACGTACTTTAATGTGTAATTAGTTTTCCTGGAATGGGCCAAAAACGACATAAATCCTTACTAATATTATAAATCAGAAAGTAAGTTTGTTTGTTTGTTTGTTCCGCTTTCACGCCATAACTACTAAACCGATTGCTTTGAAATTTTGCAGACGTAAAGTTAGAAGTCCGGATTAAATAATAGGGTACTTTTTATCCCGGAAAATTTTTATATTCTCGAGAAAACAAAAGAATTGGTATAGATGGCGCTATGTGTATTGGTATATGTCACATAGGCTACTTTTTATCCTTTTGTGACGCGAGCGAAGCTGCGGGTAAAAGCTAGTAAGTAAATACAAGAAACTTCCAGAACGACGCACGTAGTACCTACAACTACATAGTCACCCACCTAATTACCTTTTCCCAGAAACAAAGCGAAATTGAATTTTCTTTATTATAAGCTTCATTTTTGTTAGCACTTTTCATAACAGTTGTTATCTAGGCTGTATAGAAGGCTAGCCTTCGAGTAGCCAACGTCACTGCTCTCATATGAGCGTCCGTGCGTTTGACAATGCCTTGAATTGAATAAAGCTGCATGTGACAGCTAGGGGCATTGAGCGGTAACTAGCAAACTACTTCAACGGTATTATTGTCTGTATTAAGGGTTTGCATAATACCTATATTCTTTTGATAAAAGTATTGGAACAGAATACTTAACAAATTTTTATATCATGAGGAGTTAATTAGTAAAGAACAAAGGGTATATTAGATTTAACACTACTTTTCGTCAATATTAGCAAATATTTCCGACACTTGACTAATTCTGAAATGTGTGAAATAGAAAATCCTAACTTTACTAGACCTACCTTTTGTTCTGCTAAAAATTGGTTTTGATGCTGTCAAATATTTATTATACGAACTACATAGAACTCTTACTGTGTTATGCAACTCTAGTACTTTTTGTCGAATTTCTACTCTAAGGGCTCGCGACGCGTATGCGCGTTCATGCCATTCAATTTCAAGAAAGAAAGACTTTTTCATACGAACTATACAGACCTCTCGCTTTATTGTGCGACCCTGGTACTTTTTGTTAAGTTCCAAAAATCGGTGCCTGCTACGCAAATGTGCGTCTTCACAGTGCAACTCCTATTGTACTTACTTATGCCGCCCCCAACTTGCATGTGCGTTCATGTCATTTGAACGAAAGTTCTATACGAACTATACTCATCTCTTGTTATATTATGCAACCCTAGTACTTCTTGTCAAGTGTCTACTCTCAGTGCCCGCGGCGCGTATGTGCGTTTTCACTTTGTAACACTGGTGTGCTCCTAACTCACGTCGTTTGCGTTCATGCCATTTGAACTAAACCTTTTACATATACAAATTTTGAACTACACGCACCTCTTGCTATGTTATGCAACCCTTGTACTTTTTATCAAGTTTCTACGCTCAGTGCCCGCGACGCGCATATGCGTCGTCAACTCGTCACACTGCAAATTTTTGTGCCCCTAATTCATATGTTTGCGCGTTCATGCCATTTCAATGCAATTTGTTTTAATACGAATTACAAATCTTTTCTCATTATCATTTTCTATTTTACGAACTACATTTACCTCTCGCTATATTGTGCGACCCTAGGACTTTTGTCGAGTTTCAACACTCAGCGCCCACGACGCGTATGTGCGTTTTCACCTCTAAACATGCTGTGCCCCTGACTATTGACCACAGAATACTCCTGACTCCAAAATATGTGCGTTCCTGTTCATATCATTCTCTGTTTACTACAAACAACAGTCACCTCTAGCAACATTATGCGGCCCTATTACTTATTGTATAGTTTCTACTGGCAGTACTTGCGACGCATATGCGCGTTTTCAGGATGCAACACTGTGTGCCTCCAACTCACATTACGCGTATTCTAATAATTCAGTTTTATACGAACTAATCTCTTGCTAATATTATGCTACCCTGGTACCCTTTCGTCAAGTTTCTTCTCCCAGTGCCCGCGACGTGTATGTGCGTGCGTTCGTACCAATCGAACGAAGACTTTTATATGAATCATACACAGACCTCTTGTTCTATTATGCGACACTAGTTCTTCTTGTTCTAGTTTCTACTCTCAATGCCAGCGACGCGTATTTGCGTTTTCACATAACGTTTATGTCATACTAGCTTCTGCCCGCGACTTCGTACGCGCAATCCCGATATTTCCCGTTCCCGTTCTTGATTTTCGGTAAAACGTAAAAAAAAAGAATTCGGTAAAAAGTATCCTATGTCCGTTTCCTGGTTCTAATCTACCTCCCCACCAATTTTCATCCAAATCGATTTAGCCATTCTTGAGTTATAAATAGTGTAACTAACACGACTTTCTTTTATATATATAGATTTGAACGAAACGAATCTGTTTTATACGAACTACAAACACCTCTTGCTATATTATGCGACCCTGGTACTTTTTGCCAAGTTTCTCTACTCTCAGTGCCCGCGACGCTTATGTGCGTGTATACGCACATAAGCGTCGCGGTTGTAGTAAGTTCTTGCCATTTCTGTCTAATTAACAAAAACTGTCTAATTAACGAATTTTGATTTATACGAACTGCAAACTCTACATTATGCGACCCTGATACTTTTCTTTAAGTTTTAACAATCGATGCTCACGGCCCAAGCGAACATGCGTCTTTACAATACAATGCAACTCTGTTCTTTCTTTATTTTAAGTCTGTTTCATAATATGAAAATGACACAGACCTCTGTTGTATTGTAATAAACTATCTTAGTACTTTTTATTAAGATTCACACAACACTCGACGTCCGCGACGCGTATATGCGTTTTCATTAAGCGATGACACTCAACTGTATGTCCTCGACACGGTATTATGACTATGCTGTTTGTATTTCTCTAAAAACTTTCTAAGATTTTATAATTTTAATAAGTAGAACTTTTGGACTTTCGTTGGTAGTGGTGAAGGTTACGCACGTGCTTTTGTCACTCCTACGTTTATTTTCACTTTAAGTGATCTATTTCATAGTGATCTGAATTGAAATCTTTTAAATTTTGTGTTTTTGTGTTGGTTAAGTGTATGTGTGTGTAAGTTTCAGGTATTGGTGTTTTTAAATATATTTTAATCTATTTTTTCCTCTGCCCATCCGCATCTTTTTAATCCGAAATGGACGAGGTGAAGCCACCCGATCCTCCTGATCCCGATAAATCCCCGGAATATGAGACGGAAACTATAGTCACAATTACCCTTCCTCCGAACACCCCGGATATCGAAATAATGGACGCGGAAGTTTCAAAATCCCGGAAACGACCCGCAGGCTCCCCCCTTATCACCCAAAACAACCCCCCGAAATTGGCGAAAAGTGTAAATGGTAGGCAATGTTACACGGCCAGGGACAATCCCCCTTACATAGTTTATGTGTCTCTTAAGGACTCCCAGACGTCTGGCACCACGCTTCACCCAGTTAAGTTTGGTATGTTCCTAATGAAATTAAACATTAATAATGTTAAGATCGGTGGTGTCAAACGGCTGGGGAGGAATAGAGTTTCGGTTGAGTTTGTGACGCACCAGGATGCTAACAGTTTTTTAGTCAATGGTATGGTAGCTCAAAACTACACAACTTCGATCCCACAATTCAACATTACCCGAATGGGCATTGTCAGGGACGTCCCTGTGGAATGGACAGAGGACGAGATCATTGGCAACATCAGGGTTCCCACCGGGTGTGGGGCTGTGATAAAAGCTAGGAGGATGAATCGCAGAGTCTCAACCCCAAATGGTACCGAATGGAAGCCTACCCAAACCGTAGTGCTTACTTTTGACGGTCAAACATTGCCCAAAAAAGTGTTTTGTTTCTACTCAGCACTCCCGGTAGAACTATATTCATATCCGACCATACAGTGTTATCACTGTTGTCGTTTCGGACATACCCGCACTCTTTGCCGCTCCAAGCCACGTTGTTTCAGATGTGGCCAGGATCATCCAGGTGATGGATGCCAGATTTCAGCTGAGATTGCCACATGTATAAATTGCAATGGCAACCACTTTGCAAATGACAAAGCTTGTCCTGAATTGGGTCGCCAGAAGAGCATCAAAGCTTTGATGGCAGAAAAATCTATTTCATATGCGGAAGCAAGCCAAGTTTTCCCTACTGTAAAAAGGTCATATGCTGAGGTCTCAAGATCAGTCAACCTCGTAGATCCATCACCTATTAAAAAATCATCCCAACAAAGAGTCTCCTACAAAAAAACTATCCAACTAAAACCCAAATCACATGCTCCCCTCTCTCCTAGTTATGATAAGAAGGCTCATCAGGCCCTTATACATAACTACTCGTTCTCCCCATCTAAAAGTGGTTGCGCTTTCCCTGTGGAATCCGGAACCAACACTCGTAGCTCCGAAAACATTTTGAACATAGTTTCTGATATGCTCATGGCAGTACTATCAAACCCTGCCCATACCGTACCTGACCACGTAGCACACAAGCTTTCAACAATTCTT